CTTAATTCACAAAATTATTCATGGCCCTTCCCACTGACACTGTATCAACGATTCATTATGTGGTTGAAAGGATTGAAATGGTTTTCCACTTTTTAGGAAAACGTGCTGACTTTGTTTCGGGGTCCATTCATTCCTTTTACCTTCTGGTGCTGTAATTGGCCTTTTGGAGGCTGTGTACACACCTTCCCCACTGCCGGGAACCCAGCGCAGGTGGGAGGGGCAGGGCCTTCCAGGAGAACGGGAGTGCAGAGCAGTGATGGGAGACGCAGGGCAGAAATTCCCTTCAGATTTTATTCCACAAGTGACATCTTTTCAACTAGTTTTAAGGTAATACATTGACCTGGTGACTGTTAAGGTCAGGATAAAAAGATATAGGAGTAAGACTATTCCTTCTCTACCAATCCAGGAATCCTTGCCTCCCTCACCTGGATATGTCTTTGGTTGGGGATCACTTTGAAAGGGACTGTTCCTAGCTATTGTGAATACTGAATTAAAATCTAACTTCTGGTATCTTCCACCCTGCCATCCGGGTTTTTTTTTCCTTGGGGGCATGCAGAGAATCCCACTCCTTTCATTGAGCCATCTTTTGCTCTAGTGTAGACCATGGGCTTGAGTCAGACTGCCTGAGTCTTCCTCAGACTTCTAGTATAAAATGAATACTTCTTCATTTTACCCATATTCTCTACTTTTTCCATTGCACTTATCACCATCTGACATGTTCTTGTTTATTGTCTGTTCTGTCTTCTAGAAGGGCAGGTTCTTACTATTATTTGAACAGTACTTGGCATATTATAGGCATACAATGCTGTCTGGTTTCATACTTCTACAGATCAGCAAGACCCCTACTCCATCCCATCATTTCCCTGAAAGAAAAAGAGCTTTCCCCCCAATTGTTTTAACAACAGGTGTAGAATTGAATTTCATTGGTCTGGTCAGGACCCTTTGCCTGTCCCCAACAAATAGCTGTGCTGTGGCCAAAAAAATAGGCTATACTGTTTGGCCCCTCTTGAGTTGTATGCCCAACTGGAACAGGGTTGGACTCTGCTAGACCCACAGGGCCGGGAGTGGGGGAAGGTTGGCTTCTGGAAGGCAATCAAATACTGCTATTAGAGGTTGGAAGGAAGGAACACAGAACAGGCAGGAAGGACAGAGGGAGTGTTCATATGTCCATCTGTCATGCACTGTACCTGTATTATGTCACTAATTTGCAGCACTATCCCAACAAAGTAAAAGTGGCTACTGTTAGGGTGGTCGATGACATGGGCTGTGAAAGAATTCACAAAGAGAAAAGAGCATAGAGAATAAAGTTTTATTCACTCGCCAAGAAAGAAGAGGGGCATGCTGTGGAGAGATACACCAGCGGTTGAAGGGTGGAGCCTGTGAGATTTATTGGATTATAAATGTATTTATTTTATTTTTCTATTTAATTATTTTTCAAGTACAGTATTCTGTCTTTTACTCCCATCCCAGCCCCCCCATGCTCCCCACCTCCCTCCCATTTCCACCCCCCTTAGTTGTTGTCCATGTGTCCTTTATACTAGTTACTGTAAATCCTTCCCCCTTTTTCTCTGAAATTCCCTCCCCTCTCCCCTCTGGTCGCTGTTTTAAAAAGGGTGGGGGTGCTGTTGTTGGGCCCCTGGGCTGTGGGGGTGTTGTAACCTGAGGCTGCAGTGTGTTCCACTGTTATCTTCCACCTGTGGAAGCAGGGAGTGGTTAGTTCTGTTCCTGCTTCCAGTAATTATCAGCCCTGGGGACAGGCTCAGAAGAGTAAAATGACAGTCCAGTTTAACAAGGTCACAGGCCTGCTCAGCAAATGGTGGCACAATAGCAAGTGGCTCTGGCGCTATTCTTTCAGCTACGGTTTCAGAGAGGTGAAAGCAGACTTAGGAAGGTTAAGAAATTTGCCAGTTAGAAGGTTGTGAGCTGGAACTCAAATCCAGGCCTGTTAGGCTCCAGAACAGAACCCATATATGCCATTCTCTCTATCCACCCCTTTCACTCAAGTTCTTTTCATGTATCACCTTCAGTTAAGTCACCATGAATTTTTGTGATTGGCTGTGTGCTTTCCTACCTAGGCAGTGTTACTAGGTAACCACTCAGCACTGCATCTAGGCCAGCCTCTGTTCCCTCAGTTGTTCCTGTCTTTGCCACATTCTCCTGACCAATTTAATATTATTAATAGATTCTCCACTTCTGCCCACCTCTCCATCAGACTGAGGCTGCTCCCTTTCCATCTCTTTCGTGACTTTTCTGAAGCTTTCCCTATGAACTCTGAAATTTATTGTCATCCTTGTGACCTCTGAAATTTATTACTGGTTTCTGGACTATGGTGGGAGTGGGAATAGAAAAGAAATAGCAACAAATTACCACTTGGACAAGTCCCCTAGATTTTTGACCGGGTAAACCCTTGATAAGCCTTAATAAATGAGCACTGCCTCAATGAGCACTTTTAGATGTGGCTGAAAGGTTTCACTCCCCAGAGACTTCCTGAGAAAGAATGCATCTTACTATCTGTCCTACTATGTAGCAGAGTCTGGTACATAGTAAGCCCTCATTCAACTGTATGTTAAATCAATACCATGTATCTTTTGTGCCCCAGTGTATCTTCCACAGTGCTGGCTGAATTGATTTTTTAAAATCAAATATTTAGCCCCAGCTGGTGTAGCTCAGTGGACAGAGAGCGGGCTGGGAACCAAAGGGTTACTCCCCCTCTCTTTCTCCTTCCCTTCCCTCAAAAAATAAATAAATAAAATATTTAAAAAATCAATCATTTATTTATTTATTATTAAAAATAAAGAGGGGAAGGGAGGAAGAGGAGGAGAAAAATATCAATGTGAGAGGAAAACATCCATCAGTTGCCTCTAGTAGGAGCCCCGCCCGCAGAACAAACCCACAAACCAGGCTTGTGACCCAACCAGGGATGGCGATCTCCGCCTTACGGGAAGATGCCAATCAACTAAGCCACACCCATCAGGACATTTGCTGAAATGATTTAAATAATGCCTTACAAATCCAGGCTGCACACCGCCAGAGCATAAGAGCCTTACCCTTATACACCACTTTAAATAAACTTTTAGTTGCCTTCCTTAAAAACACTTGTGTTTTACTCAAAACCGCCACACAAATACTTCCATCTAAACTGTTCTGCCTGTCAGGTAATTGCTTCCGTAGTCGCCTGGAATTGGTATCAAGCTGTTTACACTTGTCTCATTTGCTAGTATCTGAGCTCCTAGAACTCGGCCGTCTTATTCACCCTTTACCTAAAGCAAACTGGTATTCATGTGAAGGTAATTATGATAATGAAAATGTCAGTTTTTGCACATGGTTCGGGCAATCCATGGGCCCAAAAAGGTGTATCGGTACATTTTAAATAATTTACTCATTAAATTTCTCTGAATCCCCTAATAAGGTCATATCAACTCTGTATTAGTAAGATAAGTGTCTCCAGTTTATAAAGGAAATTAACTCAGAGGGTCAACACCGAAACCGAAGGTCACACACAATCTAATCACACAGGGGAACTTCAGCAATGAACGCCAGGAGGAGCTCCAGAGGCCTTTTGAACTCTCTCGGCCACCGTCTTCGGGTCCTCGTAGCTGCTCTTATCTAGGCGCCTGCGCGCTGCTGGAGCGTCGTCCATTTCTCCCTCTGGAAGGACGTTGTTGTTGAGGCAAGTTGTGTTAGTTTCGTGTCCCTCGTTCTGGTTCCCGTAATTGCCGCCTCCGTTGCTTGAACTTCAGCTATGAGCGGCACGAGGAGCATCAGAGGCTCTCTCGGATTTGAGCCGTAATTAGCATCTCGGAGGCCGGAAAGCCTCGGACCTCTCGCCCGCGTCGACCCCTACAAGACCCTCGTCCAGGCCTCAGAGGGCGTTGGGGTTCCTGCAGGGACCGCGCTGCGGCCTCAAGGAAGCAGCCGGGCTTCGGGGGCCGTGGGGCACCCGGGGGCACTGTACGTTCTTTCCCAGTCATTGTGACCTTGGTTGGTTCATTTGACCTGTATGACCCTAGTGTTTTCACTTTGATTCAGTCATCACTCGGGTAAGGAAGCAGCCAGCAACGCCTTCACTCGGTCGGCGTTCGCTGTGTCGTAGCGTTGTGAAGGGTCACCATGCCTTTGGTGGGAGGGAAGGGCCGAGCTTCCTGCAGCAACGTTTGCGTTCCCACGGCCGTTCCACCAGCCTCCCCGCTGCGTTGAGGGAAGGGAAGGGAGGTCTGCGTGGGGTGGGGGCGGGGCCTGGGCGCTGGGATCAGGCCGCTTAGTCCGAGGTCTCCAGGTGCGTCCTCGAGCCAACTGTTGGGTATCCTGTTCGAGTTTTAGTCTTTTCGTGTGCTCCAGTGTTGTCATTTGTAAAGTGGGAGTAATAACTTGTTTCATAGGGTTGTCTCGGCCATTGAAGGAGTTGATAGTGTTTGTAGAAGAGTCGGTGCTATAAATGTGTTGGCACTTGTCAGCCTAGAGCCACTGCTTAACCTTTCGTAGTTGGGAGGGATTTTTGTTTGTAGCATTCGTTTCTTACACACTGTTGTGCTTCAGTTATCTTATTTAGGGTGGTCGTTCAGCACGTGAGGGGTGGGGAGATGAAGCCGGGGTGGGAGTTCAGAACCAGTCTTCCAAAGATGTGCCTCTGGTGTGCGGATTGTTTTCAGCTGAGGGTAGTTTTCAGCTTCAGGCAGAAGAGAAACTTCAGCTTCTCCCATTAACTACCTAGAACAACCTGAATTGGAGGCCTTGTCCATAACGAGAAATTATCGTCCATAATCTCTTTTTGACCCGCCTATGCGGCCAGGCAAACTTTTTATTTACTAAACATCTGTTCTTATCCTGCTGTGACCCTTTGAAGTCCCCAAGGTGTATTACCTCATCCCTAGTTCAGATGTCTTATACCATATCCCCCTTTCTATCTCTGAATGTCTTCTGCATATGGGGTTCCCGTACATTTGAATGTATTGAATCCAGTTATCTTCTGCTAATCTGTCAAATGTCTATTTACTTACTAGACCAGCCAAAAAATCCTTGAGGGTCCAGGAAAGTTTGTTCCTTCCCCACAAGCTTAAGCCATTAAATATCTTAGGCTTTGTGGGAGGAATCAGTCCACCAGCCATTCTTCATCTGCCTCTTCAGGTATTAAAATGCATTATGCATAATGCATAAGAATTCTTTTAGATGACTTATTTTGTTCTAATTACTTAAAAAATTTTTTTTATTTACCAGGGTGAATACAACGACCATGGCTTCCAGTGCTTTGACAAAACCTCAGATGCGTGGCCTCCTGGCCAAGCGTCTGCGATTTCACCTTGTGGGAGCCATCCTTGTATCCCTGGGGGTTGCAGCTTCCTATAAGGTATGTATGTTTGATTCTTACTTTGTATATATGGTCCCAAATGTGTTTTAAATTAATAGGTGTATTTTATTTTCATAAGCAATTTAGAGTCTTTTAAAGACTTTCATGTGCTTCCTCTGACTTTTCCTCCATTCACCTCATATGATAGGAAAGTGCCTCATTCCCGAGATAACTCGTCCTGCATTTTAAATGAAGCTGTATTATTGGGTTGGCCAAAGAGTCTGTTTAGTTTTTTTTCCATAAAATAAAGAAAAGACACATTTTTCATTTGCACCAATAACTTTATTGATTTGGATAATTTGAATTTCTGGCTTGCTCTCTCCTGGTAGAACGTTGATTGTTCTCAATGTCTCATTTTAATTGCTGTCCACTTCAACTGGTTGAGCATCCAACTGTAGAGCATCGTCCAGTGAGAAATCTCCAGTGTGAAACTTTGCAACCCACATTTGAAACGTTCCATCAGTCACACAGCATCTTCTCCATATACTGCACAAATCTTTTTTTGTATTTCAATTGTGTTTTTTTACCTTTCTTGAAATAATAAAGCATGATATGCTGAAAATGTTGCTTATTTTCTTCCATCTTCAATATTGGCTATACAAAAATTCACCAATTTTGTTTTTTTTTTAATGCATGCTTACATGATAACATGATCTAACAATACTGTTTTGAATGAAGTGAAAGACAACTAAGTGCTGCTGGAGTCATCTTATGGAAGAAAGCAAATGACCTTTTTGGCCAACCCGGTAGTTTGCTAGGGCTTCCATAACAAAGTACCACTGACTGGGTGGTTTAAACAACAGAAATTTTGTCCTGGAAGCTAGAAAACCAGGGTGGTTCAGGATTGATTTCTTCTGAGGACTCTCTCTGAATTTTCCCATATAGGAATCATACTGGATTAGTCCCCACCCTAACAAAAACCCTCCATTTATTGCCTTTTTAAAGACCTTATCTCCAGACACTTGAATTTTGGGAGACACAGTTCAGCCCATAATACAGGCCATAATTGTGGGCAACACAAAAGGGTTATTTTTAGGCCAGGACTTTCTCTGTGACAGGGGATGGAAAGGGCTCGTCCTGCTTGACCAGGAAATTCCAGCTGATTGATTAAGATTGTTTCTAGAAGAGGTTGAAATGGCAATTTGGCCAGGTCTTAAATCTAGGTTTGGTATCTTGGGCTTGGGCACAAGTGCCACTTTGGGCCTGTGACTTCCTTTTTGACTGAACCTTCAAGAATTGTTGTCACAGAATTTCATCTTAATGCTTTGCCTTAGATAGATTTTAACGTTTTGCTTTTTTAAAAAATATATTTTTTTATTGTGGTAAAATACACATAACAAAATGTAACCATTTTTGAGTGTATGGTTCAGTGGTATTAAATACATTCAGATGTTGTACAGCCTTTTAGATTTCTTAATTTCTTTCTCAGGCTCTCCAGTCTACTACCCACACGCCCTAACGCAGACACTCTACAAGGAATGACACCTCCCTTGGCAAGGAGGGAGCTTTTTGCTGAGTACCATATTTTTCGGACCATAAGACGCACTTAGGTTTTAGAGGAGGAAAATAGGAAAACAAAATTTGAAGCAAGAAAATCGTGGTAAAATATTTAATAACATAAATAACAATGTAAATGTAAATAGAACTCAACAGCAGCATTAACAACCATTATACCTCCCACATTTGGGGGTGTGCGTCTTATAGTCCGGAGTTTTCTTAGGGCTTCTTTCTCTTCCTTGTATGTTTCTGTGTCTCCATCCTTTGTCAGGAAATAGAGGGTTCAAGTTCAAGGTAAACACAAGCTTAACTGTGATTTAAGTTGTCTTCAGATAATAACTTTCTAATCTAAAAAATAAGCTGTAATGGGATATGCTATTTTTTAGTTTGGTGTGGCTGAAAAAAGAAAGAAGGCATATGCAGATTTCTACAGAAATTATGATTCCCTTAAAGATTTTGAGGAGATGAGGAAGGCTGGTATCTTTCAGAGTGCAAAGTGATCTTGGAATGTAAAGGTAATATGATTATTTATTTTTAAAGACTTATTTATTTTTAGAGGGGGAGGGAGGGAGAGAGGGAGAGAAACATCAATGTGTGGTTGCCTCTGTGCGCCCCCTGCTGGGGACCTGGCCTGCAACCCTTTGTTTCGCAGGCCAGCACTCAGTCCACTGAGGTACACCATCCAGGGCTAATATGATTATTTCAAGTTACTATTTTAAAACTTCTTTAAATTGTGGTACAGTACACATAAGATTTACCATCTTAACTACTCTCTTAAGTGTGTAATTCGGTATTGTTAAGCACATGCACATTGCTGTGCAGCCAGTCTCCAGAACTCTTTATCCTGCAGAACTGAAGCTCTGCACCCATTCAAGCAGTTCTCCATTCCCTCCCACTCCTGGCAGCCACTGTTCTGCATCGTACAGTGTTTGTATTTTTGTGACTGGCATATTTCATTTAACTAAAATGTCCTCAAGGTTCATCTGTCACAGCGTGTATCAGAATTTCCCTTTTCAGGCTGTTGTATTTTATGTATATACCACATTTTGTTCATTTATCCAACAGACACTTGGGTTGCTTCCTTTTTTTGACTATTGTGAACAGTGCTGGCATGATGTTAGTAGATAATCTCTTTGAGACCCTGCTTTCAATATTAAATAGCTGGATGTGGAGTTCCATTTGCAATTTTTTAAGGCTCTGCCATACTAAATCACATAATAGGTGGACCCTTTTACTCTCCCAGCACTAGTGCAAAAAGGCTCTAATTTTCCCACATCCTTGACCAAATTTTTTCCTGTTTAATGATACAGAGCAGGGGTGTCAGACTCATTTTCACCTGGGGCCACATCAGCCTCACGGTTGCCTTCAAAGGGCCGAATGTGATTACACAGGCCTAAAATTATTTCGGCTCTTTGAAGGCATCCTCCAGGCCGATGTGGCCCCCGGTGTAAATGAGTGTGGCACCCAGATGTAGAGCATCTTTTATTGTGCTTGTTGGCCGTTTGTGTATGTTACTTGGAGAAATATCTGTTTAAGTCATGTGCCTGTTTTGAATTTCATTGACTTTATTTGTTGAGTTTAGAAATTCTTTAATTACCTATCTTTGTGGGTAATTTTTTACTGTATTTGTGAGGGGGTATTTTGGGGCTCTATTCTGTTGCATCGGTTTGTATTTCTTTATGCCAGTACCATGTTATTTTGATTACTGTTGCTTTATATTAAGTTTTGAAATCAGGTAGTGTTAGTCTCCAACTTTGTCTTCTTTTTTATGATTGTTTTGGCGTCCAGGGTACCTTGAAAGTCCTTATGAATTTTAGGATGGATTTTTCTATTTCTGCAATAAATTCTGTTGGGCCTTAGTAGGAATTGCATTATATATGTAGATCACTTTGGGTAGAATGGGCATCTTAATTTTAAGTATTCTAGTTCATGAGCACAACATACCATTTATTGGTCTCTGATTTCTTTCTTTCTTTCTGTTTTTTTAAGATTTTATTTATCTTTAGAGGGGAAGGGAAGGAGATAGGGAGAGAAATAATGTCAGTGTATGGTTGCCTCTCGTGTGTCCCCTGCTGGGAACTGGCCTACAACCCAGGCATGTGCCCTGAATGGGAATCAAACCGCGATACTCTGGTTCACAGGCCTGTGCTCAAACCACTGAGCTACACCAGCCAGGGCTTGGTCTCTGATTTCTTTCAGTTCTAGTATACAAGCCTGGTCTCTGTGGTTAAGTTTATTCCTCAGTATTCAGTTCTTCTTGATGGCTGTTGTAATTTTCTTTTGTTATTATTCCTTGTTAGTGTAGAGCAACAACAAATTTGGGTTGATTTTTGTATTTGGCAACTTCATTGAGTTTCTGTTTTGTGTGAAATCTTTAGGGTTTTCTGTATAGCAAAAAAATTCCATTTCCTTTTCTTGCATTATTGTTCTGGCTAGGACTTCCAGTGCTGTGCTGAGTAGAAGTTGTAAGAGTGGGCATCCTTATCTTTTCTGATAGAGCCTTTGTGTTGAAATAGTTGCATTCTGTTAACTGATCTGTTGAGTGTTTTTGTAATGAGAAGGTAATGAATGTTTGTAATGTTTTTTTTGTACCAATTAAGTTCACGTTGTTTTTGTCCTTTCCTTCTGCAGTATATTACATTGACTAAATTTTGTTTGTAGAATCATCCTGAGTCAACATTTGGTATGTTGACCAGGAGTAAATCCCAGTTGCTTGTGGTATATAATCCTTTTAATGACTGAATTCTGTTTGACAGAGTTTAGTAAGGATTTTCACACCCGTATTCATCGGGATAGTGCGCAGTTTTTATTGCAGTCTGGCTTTGGATCAGGATGATGCTGACCTTGTGGAGTGTTTGTGGCCACAACACGAGAAACTGGAAGGCTTCAGGGAAATACAGTGTGGGCAGTCTCTCTCCACCCAGAAATGTTTTTTAAGATATGTCTTTTAATGTACAGAAAATAAAAATAATACATAGAGTGAATTTGGATATGTTCCTTCTGCTTTAATTTTTTGGAAGAGCTTGAGGATTGGTGATAATTTAAATATTCAGTAGACCATTGTGAAGCCATCCGATCCTGGGCTTTTCTTTGGGAGGTTTTTGATTACTGACTCAGTCTCCCTATCAGTCTGTATAACCTGTGCCCACTTCATTTCTTGGTAGTTTTGTGGTTGTAGGCATCAATTTCATGTAGGTTATCTGTTAACAGTACAATTGTTTATAGTATTTTATAATCTTTTTTATTTATGAGAAAGCAATTGTAATGCCCTTTCATTTATGTTTCCAGTTATTTGTCTTCCATTGTGATAAGAAAAGATACTTTGTGTGATTTCAGTCTTTTAAAATCTAGTAAGTCTGTTTTTATAGACTAACATGGTCTATCATGGACAGTATTACATATGCAGTTGAAAATACTGTTTTCTCTTTCGGGGTAGAATGTTCTGTGTCAGGCCCAGCTGGTATGTAGTATCAAGTCCTCTATTTTGCTAATGATCTTCTATGTGGTTCATCTAGCTATTACATAAAAAGTGGGACATTGAAATTGCCTCCTGTTATGGTGGTAGAGCTGTTAGTGTTTGCTTCGTGTATTTGGAAACTGATATTTAGTGCCTGTGTATTTTTAATTGCCCTGTCTTGGTGAATTGACCGTTTTATCTTTGTACAGTATCTTCCTTGTCTCTTGTACTGTTTTTTGATTTAGTTTATTTTGTCTGATAATAGTGTAGCCACCATTGCTCTTTTACTGTTTGTATGGACTATATTTTTCCATCCTTTTACTTTCAAACTTTGTACCCATAGAGATAAAGTGAGTGTCTTGTACATAGTGTATATTTGGATTCTGTTTTGGATCCATCTTTTGATTGGGGAGTTTATATCATTTATATTTAAGGGAATGATAAGGAAGGATAGTCTGTTGTCTTTCATTGATTGTTTCTGTATATCATCTATATTATCTTTCACTTCCTTAGTACCTTCCTTTGTGTTAGATTTTTTAAGGGACATTTTGATTTCTCTCTCATTTATTTCTTTTTGCGTACATTATGTGAACATTTTCTTTGTGGCTGCCATTGGCATTACATAAAATGTGTTAAAGTGCAACTAATAACATTTTCAATCACATGTAAAAATTCTACTCTTTACAACTTGCTTTCCCACTTTATTCACAGATTTACATATTGTGTGCTCATTAACAGATTTTTCATGCTTTTATCTTAAATCCTATAAAATTAAAAGTGGAGTTATAAAACAATTGTAATATTGGCTTTTATGTTTATATATTTACTTTCATCAGAGATTTTTATACTTTCATATGGCTTTGTGTTGTCCCTTATGTTTTTTTTTTTTCTTACAATACACAGCTGTATTATAGGATTGTACACCTGAAACCTATATAATTTTACTAGCAAATGTCACCGGAATAAATTCATTAAAAAGCAAAAAAGACCCAGACATGCCTAAGTATTTTTGTTCTATCTCTGCTTTCTAGAAACGTTTGCTATTGTTATTCTCTACTTTCACTATTCTGACTTCGGGTTAATCTGGGCTCCCTAGCTCCCTCCCTTCCTACTCCATTTCTGTTTTCTTTTTAAAGTATATTTTATTGATTGCACTATTACACTTGTCCCATTATTTTTCTCCCCTTTATTCCCTTCAGCCCTGCACCCCAGCACCCCACCCTCCAGCATTCCCCCCTATTAGTTCATGTCCGTGAATTACACATATAAGTTCTTTGGCTTCTACATTTCCTATACTTTTTTTTACCTTCCTCCTGTCTATTTTGTGCCTACCAGTTATGCTTCTTATTCCTTGTTCCTTTTCCCCATTCTCCCCCTCCCTGCTGATAAGCCCCCATGTGATCTCCATTTCTGTGATTCTGTTCCTGTTCTAGTTGTTAGTTTTTGTTTTCTTTTGTTTAGTTTCAGTTGTTTATAGTTGTGAGTTTGTTGTCATTTTACTGTTTATAGTTTTTGATCTTGTATTTCTTAGGTAAATCCCTTTAACATTTCATGTAATAAGGGCTTGGTGATGACGAACTTCTTGAACTTGACTTTATCTGGGAAGCACTTTATCTGCCCTTCCATTCTAAATGATAACTTTGTTGGACAAAGTAATCTTGAATGGAGGTCCTTGCCTTTCATGACTTGGAATACTTTTTACCAGCCCCTTCTGGCCTGTAAAGTTTTTGGGGGGAAATCAACTGATAGTCTTATGGGCACTCCTTGGTAGGTAGGTAACTGTCTCCTTTTCTCTTGCTGTTTTTAAGATTCTCTCCTTATTTTTAATCTTTGGTAATGTCTTTGGTGTGTTTCTCTTTGCTTCCAACTTCTTTGGGACTCTGAACTTCTTGTATGTCTAGTTCCTTCAGCAGATTGTGGAAGTTTACCTTCATTATTTGTTCAAATAAGTGTTCAATTTCCTCCTCTTTTCTCCTTCTAGTACCCCTGTGATTCGGATGTTGGAGCATTTAAAGTTGTCTCAGAGGTTCCGAAGCCTCTCCTTATTTTTTTGAATTCTGGTTTCTTTATTCTGTTCCAGTTGAATGTTTATTTCTTCCTTTTGTTCCAAATCGTTGATTTGAGTCCCCGTTTCCTTCTCTTCACTGTTGGTTCTTCCTGTATTTTGTGGTCATACTTAGCCATTTCTGTGAGCATCCTGATTACTATACTAGTGTTTTGAACTCTGCATCAGATAGGTTGGTTATCTCCTTGTCACTTAGTTCTTTTTGTGGAGTTTTGATCTGTTCTTTCATTTGGGCCATATTTTTTTGTCTTGGTGGGCCTGTTATGTTTTAAGGGGAGAAGCCTTAGATATTAGCCAGAGCAGGGCAACAGAATTTGCTACATTGTGGTGCTATATTTGGGGGGGGTTCAGAGAGGGAACAGTGCCACTTGCTAGGCTCTGGCCCCACTTTCCGTCACTTCCCTTGATTCCGACAAGTGGATTGTGCCTTTCAGGTGCTGATTTCCCAGTGGGTGGGCTTGTGTACTTTTTGAATCCCATGGGTTTCTCCAATGGACTCCCCTGTAAGAATGTGAATCAGCCTTTTTGTCAGGCAGACTGTACCTGAATGAGCATTCCAGATGCCATCTGTGTGGTGTGTATCTTTTCCAAGGACTGGGGATTGAGGGACCTACTGCATAGGACTTAGACCAGTTTTCTAAGACTCAGGGTCATGTTGAGTAAGTAACTTTTGCCTAATATAAGATTTGGTTCTGTAATCCCATTCTGTAGTTGTTCATCTTGAATATCTGAAGTACAGATAGATGCATGCACTAATTAGCCATAGAATCACTTAGAAAAAGGGCAAAGAACTTTATTTCCAATTATTGGAAAATTGATGAGGAATTATGCCTTTTTCATACCATGACTATTAGGAACATTAGATATTTCACAAGGTAACATGAAGAGATGATTTTAAGGTAGAAATTAAGAATGTTAAGGATGATCTATGTTAAATACATTGCACAGAAAAAAAGGCTGAAGGTAACAAGGTCAAGAAAATATTAATGATTCTGTGTGGAATCTTCAACATTGCTATTTTCTTATAACTTTGAAGTTTTCAAATTTTTCATGGTGTGCATTTCATGATCAGGTGTTAAAAGGATGATTTTAAATGTTAGAGTTTTACTTTTTCGTATAAGAAGTTGATTGCATTTAAAAACCAGTAAGAAAAAGAACAGATTTGGAGAGAGAAGTAGAAATTGTTACAGCGGTGTCCAGCCTGTGGTCCCGGGGCTGCATGCGGCCCAGGCTGGCTCTGAATGCAGCTAACACCAAATCATACATTTACTTAAAACATGAGATGTTTTTGTGATTACGTGTATTTATGTGTGGCGAAAGACAACCCTTCTTCCAGTGTGGAGCAGGCTCCAAAAGCTTGGACACTGCGGTAGAACACGTAGGTTGCTGCTTTTAAGAGTATGTGGGTGTGAGATGGGAATTGGATTTTGGGACTTGAGAGAGAAGAACACAATAGTTTTTGGAAAGTGAACAGCCAGAGTAAGGCATGGTAGTGTCCAAAATTGAAGAGAGGCTGGTCAGAGAGCTTGATGGAGAATGGACCTGGAGCCCCTGACGCGGGCTTCTCTGGGGCTAAAGGTGACTGAGCAGAGTGCGGGCCCCTCTCAGGTGATCTCAAGAATGGGGAGATAATGGGAGAGTGCTTGTTGTGAACTTCGCTACTGTGTGTTTCTCCGCAGAATTCTCTGGGGTGAATTCCGTGGAAGGCTGTCACTGACCTGCGTTCCTGAACTATGAAACATGAATATTTGAGCTAAGAAAAAGTTTCTCTTGATAAATAAACAATTAAGAAATACTGTGGACAGTAAGTCTTTGCTATTTATTCTTAATGATCTAATTCTGGGCACTTGCATCAGAATTGGTTAGGGATTTTAACTGTTTGTGGACCTTATGAAGATAAACTTTATTTCATTATTTAAAATTTCATTATTTTAGGACAAATACGTTTTGTCCATTTCATTGAGATACACTTCTCAGTATAGTTTTGGTCCTGGGTCATCGACTTAAGGAGTCTCCATGAGTCCACCTGACTGTTATTCTGTGGGGTCTTAAGACAAGATAGACACCTGTCTTTCCAATAAATGTTCTTGGGCTTTATTGTCACTGTTTGGTAGCCCTACTGGTTCAGCTACCAAACAGATGCAACAGGTAATTGAAATCTAAAGGTTCTTTACTCAGTGTTGCTTTATTAGATCTAATGTTACGTGCATGCAACTTGGAGTACATATGTAGTCCTGTTAGTTACCTAACCAGAACTGAGTGGTGCCTGCTACTGATTGTGTGCTCAGTTTTCGAAAGAGGTCTTAGGATTTTTCTCCCCTTTATCTTCTTTGTTGTGATCAAAATAGTATCACAGCTTTAAAAATCAAGTTTATTTTAAGGTAATTTAACTGTCAAACTTTATTTTTTTTAACTCAAAATTATTTTTAATAATGTGAGCTGAATTAAATCCAGGTATAAGTGAAAATGTTCATTAAAAAAATCCAGTGACAGGACACATTTAGGTGTGATCATTAACTCAAGGACTCCTTTTATTTTAAACAGTTTTATGTAACAGTTCTTAGAAGTAGTATGCAAAATTACCAGAAAAGATACAAGAATAATACATATTTACAGTCTTAAAAATAGTTACTCTTGAGGTTAATTGGTAAAACTGAGTTTCCTAAAGGAGTATGATACAGCAAGCCGATGGAGGAAACGTTTTCATGGTCAACCTGGGTTGACCACTGACACCCTTGCTTCCCAGACACAACTATGTGCAGTGATTTCCCACAAATAGGTGACACTTTAAAGATCAGTGGACCTTTGAAATTGAATTTTCTTAGTGTCTCACAATTGTAAGTGATAGGTTGTAGGCCCAAGTTCAGAATCAGTCAGTAAAAATGTGTTTCATTGCAGTCTTTGAGATATTTACCGAATATTAAAATGATACTTTGTGACTCAGGATATTGAGCCAGACCCATCGTTATATGCAAAATAAACTATTTGGTCTGGTTCATTGTTAAGGTTAATAATATTGGGGTTCTGGACTCCCCTCCAGTATACCAGGCCAGTGTGAATTCTTCTGCTAAACTCCTTCCATGGGGGTTTAGGGGAATGTCAGAGTAGTTCCTGGTAGTGTGTTTTGTTCATGAAACTAGAGAGACTCACTTGAATCCTTTGGGTCTGTTTTCACTGGTAGACACAAAGATTTACTCTAAGCTTTACCAGTAAAACAAACTGGAAAAGCATTTTTCTAGAATGTACCTGGACAGGCATTCTTCACACAGGCATCAGCAAAATGCAGAGTTTATACCGCAGCTTTCACTTAACAGCATCACGTGAGTAACAAACTGAGCAAGTTAAAAAAAAATTCCTAAACATTAAATTTCACCTAAAGACTCCAAACTTTTGCAGATGAGGGTATCAGGCAAAGACAATATCTAAGCCTAAAATTAGATGCCCCTGTATATGAAGTTTTAAAGTTGCCATTCTAAGGCCTGACCACATTTTACATTAGAGCTGAGTGTTAAAAGATCCTAATTACAGTTGAAATTTTAGCAAATATAGAGCAAGGAGACTATTTTCTACTTGTGGTAAGATTAGAACCTACAGGATTCGGTTAGTCATTGTCCCCAAATAGGAAAAGAAGTTTTTTTGTCACTCCCTTTTATTAAAGTATCTTAGTAGGGAGAAGGAAGAATCTGAATCAATTTTAGAAAGTTACTGTAACTGCAGAAAAGTGTTGGCCTCATGTCCACATTAGATGCCAGAGCTTTCTTACTCAAAAGTAAACTGCACCAGCAGGAGTCAGGGCCTCGGAGGAGGGGACTCAAGGGAACCCTTTCCTCAGGGCCTTATTTTTCACCATGGTAAACTTACTGATGAAGACTTGAGCAAAAGGTGGGTCTGCCATGTAATGGTACGTTTTCACCGTGGAGGGGAGAGGTTCCACGGGCACCACGGGGCACGGTGTCTGCGTGGAAGAGCAGCTGGGCGCCAGGTGGCAGGACGTCTTTGTGATGTAGTCCACGAGTCTGCTGTACTGCTGCTCCGACAGCCTCTCTCGGACTCCGTCCACCTGGGGTTCAAAGATTTAAAAGACTGTTTACTTGCCAAACTATTCATGAGGAGACTTCCATAACAAAATTGTCCATTTGATACATTTTTAGGTTATCTAATAAAGCCACTTCATCCAAAACAGTGCTTTCACTTTTCCTCTGACTGGCACGATAACACTGATTTGCGCAGTGTAACATCAGAGCTCTGCACGAGAGTGTAACGATGGCCGCCTTTGAGTAAGGACTCGGTGTTACCTACAGGTCCCGTGTTTCAAGTTGATGAGAACGTTTTACCCATAAACAATTAAAACATCTGTCACTGTTCTTTACTAACCAGCCCAGGGACAAAGAGGTGCCCTTCCTCTGCTTAAATCTAATCACCATCAAAAGCTGTCTGAAATAAGGGCAGGGCCTCCACAAACTTCTTCAGACAGAACCTTTTTAGTGAGAAGAAGTGGGGCAGAACACCTCTTTCAAACCAGTGGCTTTGGGCACAGCATTAAGAAAATACCTTTTGAACTGCAACATTTACTGTTTTTATAAATGCTAGGATTTAAAGCCAGAGAAAATAAAACTGGGCAGAGGAAGAGGAAATTTTTATGGGAAAAAGGAGGATGCAAAGTACATTTATGGTTCATAAAAGTCTGGCTCATCTTCAGTGGAACTCAAAAGAACTGATATACTACCTAAGTTCTTAAGTGAGATTTTCTGAGAAAGCATCCATCAAAGGCAGTTGGAGCTATAAATTTTCCCCACCCTGAAGCTAAGTTAGTGTTTATGTACATCAGGGGCGTGGTAAGTTGCAGTGTAACTGCTTGTCTGCGGGAGTCAGGTGGCCACTGCCCTTTCAGCAGCCTTTACCTGCTAAATGCTGGCAAGACCACTGTGCAAGAACTAAAAACATTTCAAGGAGGGCTCTTTAGTTCTCAAAGTAGTGGTGTAAAGAATTTGTATATGCCTGTGTAAGGCACAAATGAGTGTGGCCAAGGATGTCTTCACCAGAAAGCCAGTGGATGGTAGAGAGTGGAGGGGGCCTGCTAGAATAGTAGGGTGTCTGCTAGGGTTTGGGTCTCACATTTTTAGCTGGGGAAGGGAAATGAAGGGCCCCCAAAGATTCCCTGACACATGAAAGCTGCACCACCAGGCAAAAGCCAGAGCTTGGATACCACTGGATGGGGTCAGAATGCAGCTGGAAAGCGTTGAATACACAAAAGTCTTGACAGCTCCTCCTGAGCAGCAGCACAGGAAAGCCAGCCTGTGTTGTGAGAGGAATCTGGCCAAGGAATAAATTGACCTTCTGACTCATTTTGAGCTGCTCATAAGGGATTTCAATAACGTGCCAGGCATATTAAGCAATTATTACCCTAAAAATGGCTGCATATAACCAAGAAAAGCAAAAGCTGGTTTTATAAAAGATCTGAATCCTGCCATATTTGAATATACTGAATGATGTCATCTACAAATTAATTCCTTTTCAAATTCAAAGGACCTGTGCTTCCTAGTGTCTAAAGCAAAAACCAGAAAAGGCACAGAGATCTTAGAAATAATACTGTTCTTCATTTTCCCCGAAGCCAGCGAGTGCGCTGCTTCACCATGCCTTCGTCGGGACTCAGCTGGGGTGCGCTGGCGCGGGCACGCCCACCGAGGAAAACGGAGGGTGTCGAGCAGTACCACTGCGGGCCTCCCCCTCTAGAAAATCCGTGGACTAGAGTATGCCTAAGGAGAGGTTTCTGTCTCGGGAAAAAGGAGTATTTTGTTTTGCAGCTTGGATCTCCTCTGGGTTAAGTGGGGGAGGTTAGATTTTGGACAGAGGACTAAGGGGTCAGCTGTTTTTTATGAGGAGTTGGGGGCAGAGGGAAGTGGAGTAGATAATGAGAGCAAATTTGGTGGCTGAAGGCATGCGGGATAGCCACCCTTTCTGTCCAGTGCCAGGTGCTGCTGTGCAAGCTCATCTGTCTTTCATAGCCGCCCTGCAGATCCTGCTGTCTTCCTGCCTCTGTTATAGCTATTCCTTAATCCCACCCCTCGGTGGTCCCTGCACATCAATCAAAACTAGTATAGAGAGGAGCATGGTGTGTGGAGTCCGTGCTTCTGCCTCTACCCCCGACTCTATGGTCTCAATTAGCCTTGGCAGCATCTAGGGTGGTGACTCCAGATAGCTCATTAACCCGTAGAGAAACAGGTCCGATCCCTCCAGCTACGAGAATTCCCTGTGGGACCCTCCACAAGCAGAAAAGCCAAAGAGCAGGATCACAATTGACAGCAGAGGCAGTTCAACAGCAGAAGATAAATCTCTGGTCTCAATTGTTTAGGATTCAAAGTATTTCCCAAGCAGCTAAGGAGCAGTGATGGTCACAGATACTCCTCGGGGCCTTGGAAGTTTCTTGTTAAGGACCAAGGACTTGAAGATAATGATACTATCCCCTGCCAAATCCTGTAGCCACATCACTGGTGCTTTATTGTCAACTAGATCAGAAGACTTTGGCAGATCTAATAAAGTCAGCCTGGACATCTGACCTCTGTTTATTCCCAGAAAGTCATCAGCTTGAAGCAGCAGTGTAGTCCTAGTGCCAAACCCCAGCTTAAAGCTCGACTGATTATGATCCAAGAAACTAGAGAAATCTCAGTTGTTATGTTTGGCTGCCTTCCACCTTCTCAGATAATTTTACCCAAACAGTGGTGTGAGGGAGACACAGGCTCCCATACCAGGAAGAAAAGAGGGAAAGAAGGGATCAGGCCAGGATCTAGAGGCAAG